TACACCGAAACTCTTCATGGCCATGAAATAGCAAGTGTAAAAATTAGATGACAACAGGTCTTAGCAGAAATAAGCCATTTAGTTTATATATTGTGCATTGCTGTTAGAGTAACGAGAAAAATTGTGGAAAGAATTAAAGTTAATTAAGCCAAACTTACTTCTGGTTTTACAGATATAAAAATGACATCACCATCAACATCGCTGTCCAAATCCAAGCTTCTATATTTATGTTGAGCAGAGTCTGCTGAAGAAGGCTTGTTAGTTTTATCCGATTGACCCAGACGCTCAGAGGATGGTAAAGTAGACAGTGCAGACTGATGGAGTAAGTCCTTAGAGGTAGGTGATTCTAAGTGTTCTCGTTTCATAATATCCTTATGTTTCTCTTCCTCATGCTCTTTATTCATATCATCGGCCTTCCATGTTTGTCCTTTCTTTAATTTTTCGCCGTATTTTGTCAAGTTGTCTGCTGAAGCAGCAAGAACGGCAGCCTCGAAGGCAATTTTAAATGCTTCTGCAAGCTCCACGGTCTTAAATCGGACGGCAAAGAGCTCCGGTCTTCCGATTGACGTCACAGTGGGCTCCTCATTAGGATTCACACTTTTGTTCATCTCAGACTCAATATCTGCTACATTGGCTGGCTCTGAAAAATCAAGTGCACGCCAGGTCCATGCTTTAGTGCCGATTCCTTCGGCACCGGCACCTGCAGACATCGGGCTGAGCTCCATGTCTCCTGTTATCCGGTGATTGGCACAGACTTTAAAGACTTGATCACGCCGCATTATAAGGCGAGTATGAGGCATGGAACCGTCTGAATTTTCACCTGAAAAATATAAAGATTTGCATGCATAAAAAGCCTATTGCTGCACTAAATAATTAACTATGAACTAGAATAGACGAAGGAATAACAAATCTATTGGCTAGATGGGATAGACAAGTTATTCGACACTTGTATAGATAAAGTATGGATGGATTTTAAACCCAGTCTGGGAATAAATAAATAAATACATACATATATCGTCTGAAAAAAGTCGAAGTTTCATATATATTTTTATATTTACATATATAACAAAGTCTCAACACATAAATTGCTTCCTAGCAATCAAACGTTGATAATATTGTCTCATTTATTACCGAAAGGCCAACATAGGGTTTATCAACTCCATTAAATAGCAATGAAAAAAAAATTTCACGCAAGGATATCCAAAGGAAAGCTTTACTGACGTTATAAATAATTGAGAAGATGCAATGGTCGTCATTTGGATGGGCCTTGAATCACAAGTGTAGTTTGATGAAAACAATTTATGGACAAAACCGAGCATCACTTCATAATGATTGGCTTAATTCAATGCAAAGCGTTATCACATGGTAAACCACATATAAAGGAGAAAACTTTAGTTAATATTAGACCTATGTTTAATTTGAAACAAATAACCTTAACGGGCTTATTAGGTGGAATGCCAAATTGTTTAATTTTAAAAACCTATTAAAGCATCTGAACGACAGAGAATCAATTAATCAACCAAATAAGCAAGATTTCTTTAAGCTCAGTATAAAATTGATTACGAAGCAAGTCTATAAATTCTAATTAAGGGCCAGTGTGAGTCACGGTGTGCCCATACAAAGAAAAATGTGAATCAATTACATCACGAAAATATGATTAAATGCCAGAACTCACTATGCAAAAGCTTTAGCTCCCCGATTCCACGCTCTCGCCATGTCTTTTCTCCAGTTCCGGACCATCGGAAAAGCTTTGAGCGTGCGGAAAATACGACCGTCTCACCTTCCTCGCCCGTATACGGCTCAACGCAATCAGGTAGATGATCAAGAATCGGCTTGAAGTGAAGCCTATCCTCATCAACAGGCACCACCTCGCAATCGTCTTCATCTCCACCTCCAACGGAGGCTACATTCTGAATACTAACGTTAGGACTTTCATCAGGCAAATGAGGGCTAGTTGAGGGTTTATGTGGGGGAAAGGAAAACATAAATTGATGCTTTTGGGTTCCACTGTTTGGCACACCAAATGAAAGTGTGTTGTCACCAGGAGATTTTACGGAAGCTGACCGGTCGTTGAAGAATTGAAATTGAAAAAGAGGCTTGGAAGGACCTGTCTGGGTTATACATGTAGTAGCGCTGGTGCTGTAGCTGCAGGTACTGAGAGGCGCATCTGGTTGGCTCGAATCAATAGAGGATTTTGATACAGAAAGGAAGCTAAACAGATTGTCAATTGGCTTATTTGTAGCAGATTCAGTCCCAATAGATTTAGACTGC